GGGGGTAACCAGCTTTACTGCGTTCACAATACCTAACTGCAGCAAGCAGAAATCAAGAATATTCACTGGACTAAAACTTCAAACTTATCCGAATCAAGGATTTACTCGCCACAAAAGTGATCAAGAAAGTCCAATACCTACTGACCGCTGTCACGACCACTGAAAACGGCAGACAATAGGTCATGGGAGTCCGCTTCGTGCATTCAAAGAAATCTGTTGCCTCTGGATGCCAGAGTTGGAAAAGTGAAGACATTTGGCCCCCAGTCGTAATATTATTCAGGGTTGTGAATCTCTGATGTGGAATGATAATGTAGCGTCATACACTTCCCCAAAATCAATAGCCTAGGGTTTGACGACTTTCGACATTGACGCTGACCTTGATAGTTTAACTGGACTCGCTAAGCTGGAGGCACCCGGTCAATCATCCTCGTCATTTGGCACGCTGTCGTGGTACGTTGCATTGTTCGTATTCGACTCTCTAGCCAGTTAGTTGGAACGCATAGGTATCTTGGCACAACCATCCAAATATACTATTCCATCCGACTACGCTATCGTGTTCTTCCTTGGTCTCGTATTCGTGGGTATATAACAAGTCCGAATAATTAGTGATTGGTCTTTGCGTCTGTCAAGTTCGCACCTAAATTGGTGAGCCCGACGTGATCACAAATCCCGACCAATAACAAATATTGAATTGGTGAGCCTGTTCCATTTTATATTTCTTATTGTTTTCATTTCGATAACATTTATATATCCATTTACTACACTTTCTCATGTCCGACCACACTCCCAAGCTTATTCGTATTAAGCCGACTACGAACACGATCCAACTCGTGCCATATTGGCCAGACAATGCAGAAACATGGTTTCTGTATGCCGAGGCAGATTTTCGAGAACAGGGTGTCTCAGATCCTCATTCTCGATTTCTTGCTGTCATACGGTCACTACCGCGAGAATTAAACAGGTATGTTACAGCAAACATGTTTAATCCTGAAGTAAGTGACCCTTATGCACTTCTAAAGGCCGCACTCTTGAAGAAAAGCGATCTCACAGATCGCCAACGTCTAGACGAATTGCTTCGTAACATCGAGCTAGGCAGCCACTCAGCTACTGAAGTCCTCGCACGCATGCGAGAAGTAATCGGTGCACGAACATTTGACGATGGTTTCTTCCGAGAACTATTTCTCTCGAAACTACCACAACCGGTGCAAACCGTGTTGGTGACACTCCAGTCAGTCCCACTCGACGACCTGGCAGCCTCAGCAGATAAAATACTGGAGATATCCAGCAGACCCGTCTCCAACGTATATTCTATCTGCGACAAAACAGAGCGCCAGGATTCGGAGGTGACCAAGTTGTGCAACTCTGTGAAACGGTTGCTACGATCTCGAAGTCCTAGATCACGTAGCACTTCACGAAACGCACCTTGGCGCATCGCAGCAAGTCGCGTGGTGTACCTAAAACGAAACCCAACAGGGTGGAAAACCCTGAATGGTGCTGGTTTCATAACACTTACGGGGATGAAGCCAGAAAATGTCGTAAACCATGCCGTTTTAAGAAGGACACAAACTCGGGAAACGGTCACGCCGGCACGTGTTCACGGCAACCGTAGCCGGCAGAAAAAGCCGTTTGCTCTACGTCACGGATATTAAGACGAAAGTCCGCTACCTGGTTGACAACGGCGCAGAAGTCAGCGTTCTTCCCGCATCATGACCCACCCTTCAATCTCCAAGCAGCCGACGGTAAGGCAATCGTGACATTTGGGAGGCGGTATGTCTACCTCATCTTAAGTTTACGCAAACCCATCCATTGGATTTTCCTCCTGGCTGACGTCTCTATGCCCATCATTGGCATAGATTTGCTAAACCATTACGATCTACTCGTAGATGCTCGCCGTCGACGACTGATAGATAACAACACAAAGTTATCTATTGGCGGCACCACCTATGTAGGTCCGAGTTTAGCCATCGTTAGGACTAAACAATCAGGCGACGCGTCCTACCAGGCAGTTCTGGAGAAATATCCAGAGTTACAGCAACCGAAGCACACTCTTCCGTGCATAACCAGCAATGTTATGCATCACGTCACAACCACAGGTCCACCTGTGGCATCCAAAGCGCGCCGTTTAGCCCCGATAAGCTCAAAACGGCGAAAAGTGAATTCGACCACATGCTCGACCTGGGCATTATCAGACCGTCAAACAGTCCTTGGGCATCGCCATTGCACATGGTTCCCAAAAAGGATAGCAACGACTGGCGTCCAACCGGTGATTACCGAAGGCTCAACGCCAAAACAACTCCACACTGCTACCCGATACATCAATACAAACCCTCGTACACTTTGCCTTTTTATATCAATTTTTATTTACCATGTAATGAAATTTTAAAAAAAACGGTGAAGATAAGCGTAAATTTTTATTTTTCGATATGTTTATATATAAATAATTCCCATTTTTATGCAACGTTTTCGTGGTATTAAAGACTTTTATTTATATTCCAGGTGCAACGAGCACTGGACGGAACGTCGAAAGGAACAGATGACCGCGACCGACGTACAATTTCATTTATTGTATTTTATTTATTTAATCGCCACGACACCCTAGAATAAGGTTCAGACAACCAGGGGCCACCTCACGCAGTGAGCCCATCGGAAGAGTTTTACCAGTGGAGAAACCACTGGGTTTTTACTTCCGGCTGGTATCGTCTTAGGGTCCTCACGAACCCACTAGGGGGGGAGTGATCTGTAGCGTCACACTTCCCCAAAATCAATAGCCTAGGGTTTGACGACTTTCGACATTGATGCTGACCTTGATAGTTTAACTGGACTCGCTAAGCTGAAGGCACCCGGTCAAGCATCCTCGCCATTTGGCACGCTGTCGTGTTACGTTGCATTGCTCGTATTCGACTCTCTAGCCAGTTAGTTGGAACGCATAGGTATCTTGGCATAACCATCCAAATATACTATTCCATCCGACTACGCTATCGTGTTCTTCCTTGGTCTCGTACTCGTGGGTATATAACAAGTCCGAATAATTAGTGATTGGTCTTTGCATCTGTCACGTTCGCACCAGGACAAATACTAAAATAATGACGTTCATGTATTTTGCGGTTCCTGAATCATCAATGAACTACAGGAATTAAACAACTTTTGCATACATCCACTCAGAAACTTTTATCATTATCTCAAGCGAAAAGTACGAACTGTTACAATGGAAGTATTAGCTTCAAGCTTTATTTTTCTCCAGGTAATACGCGTAATGTAGAGATAGAAACTTGGTCTTTTCGCTAGTGCGAAGACAATACTTCCATTTCCCCAACTCGTAAATTTCTGCATACTTACTCTGCTGGGATGTTCCATTATGTGAACATACAGCACTTATGTCTTCTGGTGATAGAATAGGTGAAGATTGAGGATACCTCTCATGAAGAAGTGTGTAATTTATATAACAACTTAATCATACATGTAAGAATGGTGCATGCCTGTATATTCAGAAATAAACATTATTACTAAGAAGAAATAATATTTGATGGAGTTCTTCACGTCACGAGGGTGAGAAATACACCAAGTTTCTCTGATCAGTGCAGCGGGTGAATTGCACACTGAGGATAGCGGTGTAGCCATTCCCACTTCACTGAGTTTGCAGCGGGATGAACAAGGCAAAATAAGAGTGAGTCAGGAGTGCAAACGTTTTTGCATACGTATCTCGAAAAACGTCATCAGTTCTGCTTAAACTCAGTGTATCCTTCGTGTACCCATGAATTGTTATGATTTAACACTCTGTAGGGTCTCAAGCACCGTGGACTAAAGAGACGACTTAGGTTGCCCCGGAAGGGCTAGGCATTCATCACACTGTGATCGGCAGGGAGGCTGCCGGTAAAGGCGGAGGGTAGATGATTTCAGACCACCCGGAACACCTCTATTACTGCTGGCGTTACAGCTATAAACCGTCCGAAAAAATCCTGTCCGTGGAGATTGCAGTGACTTGTAGATTGTGTAGTATGCCTGTCCACCGGCTGTTGTATGTATTATGGTCATAACAGCATTATATTTGTGATTGCGTCGTAATTCGCCTTTCCATGTCTGCTCGTGCTCCTTTCTTTCTCATATGTGCAACAACAGCTCGATGAGGACATCTGGTGCTCAACTTCAATCTGAACACAACTACTTGGTGAAAATAATGCCTGCCCTCTGATGCCAAAAAACAGTGGGCTGTTCCCAGTCTTTCGCTGTCTCTGGAACACCTTCACGGTCTTGCGGTGACAATGTGTTCTTTGCTGATGCCAAGGACGTTTATGTGCTGGTCAACGTCTAATAAAGACACTGTAATTTTGTAACTGTTGTTTGGTATCGAGAGCCCAGCACTGATGACGATGGGGATTTCTGTGGAAAAGTGAGGCGGGAGCTGGATCTTTGTCACTGAAGGTAGTGACGGTGCTTCTTCAGGATAATGTGTCAATTTTGAAGCTGAAGAAAGGACTATGGACTGGAGTGCTCAGACGTCTATTAGCATATGGGAAAATGGTCTGGAATAAATCGTCACTCCGTCCTTCTACAGCAGAAACTTCTGGATCCATTTAAGCAGATACTCAGTGACCATTAAACTTCAGTTTCCAGAAGAACTCGAAGTGAGGTAACTAGAAAACCCTTATGAAACCTATAAAACATACCTGTATCTGTTTTATGTCATATCTGGACGGTTACCAACTTCCTTCGACTTCTTCGAATGTTTACCAAGCACATAGGTATGACTGTGGACTCCCTCCTTCATCATGAGAGTCTGCATTAACTTAGGGACTGTATAAATAAAGTAGTTAACAAACTTGTCACATGAGGCTGAAGGATGTGAGTAACCTTCAGTGTAGATGAATAACTATTGCTATTCTGAAACACGAATACTCCCCGGTAACACAGTTTCAGAACTAAAGTGAACGACTGACAATTCTTTTTATTAAGTGGAGTTTGAATATGTGCTTTAGTTTTAATTTACAACAATAGTTGGTGACATAGTAACAAGTTTGGTTGCATAAATGAAATGGTGAAAAAGAGTAAGAAAAAAGCCCCCAAAAGTAAAGGACAAAAGGCCAAGTTTGTGTACGTTTCACAATTATTCAACTTACTATAGCATCGGTGATAAGGTGAATAAGTTGGAGGATGTTAGAAGAATAGCAGCAGTAAATGCAAAGTTGTGGGAAACTCGTGTTGAAATAGCAGAAAAAGTAAAAGAAAAGATTCAGTGAGTTTCACGTTTGACTTTTATAGACAAAGAGAACATGCCAAGAAATTAGCGGATGATAATGCAAAACTACACGATGCGCTACGCCAATCAGAAAGAGAGTTCATAGATGTGTTTTCTTATTTGAAGAAGCAAAATGAAGTTAAGGAAAATGAGGTACTCTGGATTCTAAGCATTGCTTAAAGTTCAGATTATTGAACTTAGAAGCAAAGTTGAACTTTTGGCTGCTTCCTATGAGAAGGATAAGGAAATAATTGTAACTTCAGCTGTGCAATATTCCTAAATATTGATTGATTTCTACGTAAATTTTTAGCTGAATGATGCAAAGCATGAAATACAAGAACTAATTAGTGAAAAAGATAAGAAGTGTGATAAGATAAAAGAACTCGAAAGTGAGATATTGCGGCTAGCTGAATACAAAAGTGAAAGGATTCGTACTGAGAATGAGATTTTGAAGGTATACACTTGAAAAAAGGACCGCTTTTTTCAATCTACCGTAGTTACGCAGTGAAATTAAAAGTCAAAAGGCCCTGATTGAACGTATGGAGACAAAGTTTTTCGAAGAAAAGGTGAAAAAACTGACTTTAATCTAAAAATCTTGGTTTTAGCTTAAGATTAGGGAAACTAGCATAAAGGACATTAAAGCTCTTGCAGAAGAAGCTCACAGGACTTCGATTAAGTTGTATTTATTGCAAAATTCTAATTTTTAAAGAAATTTAGATGATTCTGCCAAACTGTCGTTTGTGCAGAACGTGGCAATGAGAAGACTTATTACATCTTTGAAGAAGCAGCTGGTGTCAGCGGAGGATCTATCACAGTCGCTGAACGACGAAAACAAAAAGCTGACCTTAGAGAAGGAGGCGTTAGAAATCTCATTGTTAGCAAAGTCTTCAGAATTCAGAAAACTCAGTGAACAAATTCAAGAGGTTAGAGTAGCCGGTTATATGTAATGGTCATTAGATTTTCAGAGTTGTGGTTTCAGTATGACTAGTCTTTAATTGTGCAGTTTAGAAGCTTATGATATAATAATTGTCATACTTGTTAGCCTTAAAAAATTGCGAAGCCATCCTGTTTCTGGTATGCATAAGATATACGTACAGCGTGCATGGAGGTTCGAATAATTTAGAAGCGCGTATTTGAAGGCACTGTAAATTGGAAAACGAAAGCAGATTGAATATAATCAGCTGTTTAATTTAGCGTAGTTGTAGTCAGTGGCTTCAGGGGATCCAGACCTACTTTTGAATGACCAGAGGACCGGATCCAATACTGTGGCTGTGAACATGCACGTGAAGAGGTAGTTAAACTTGAATCAAATGTTAGTGCAACTTCATTGCTTAGTTTTAAATTTGTTTCAAGTCAGGGAAAATGTTTTCCTATGTTTAAATTTAATTTTCAAAATTCAAAGTCAGTGCTGTTTTTGAAGTAATGCAAGAAATGAGATAATTTTTGTTTCATTGTTAAGGTTGGCTTATGATCCACAGGATAATTGGTGTGTAACAAAGTGACTTATATCTCAGTTTTCTTACAAAAAGAGAATATAATGTGAGTGGCTTAAAGAAGACTTTCATCATTTCAAAACTACAACAAAACTACTGTGCTGGTGCACTTCACGAATGCAAGAGCAGCTGTAATTTTCGACGTTCACAATCAGCTTCGTTGCCTAACAGCAGAACACGTGAATTTCCCCAGTAAGGCTTATAAAGCTGTAATCCAATGCTTAGTTAGGTGTATTTATTACATTGAAATGTACAAGGTTTGATTATCCACCCTGTACATCTGTAAAACCCAAAGAAAATAAGTGAACTCCATTACTTTCTCGTTATTTGCAAACTTGCATCATCTGTGGCACCGACTGACGAGATACTCAATCTTCCGTCAAAAGAAGAGTATACTGCTCTGCAGTCCGTCCTGTCCTGTTGCATGGCTGTGATATATGGCCATTAAAAGTAATTGACACGAAACAGTTACTAAGTCTTGATCACAGATGTCTTCATAGCATTGATACGTTTGGCAGAATAACCGTTGTTGAGGTCAGGCGCAGGGTAGTAGGCAAGACATACAAATCGATTGATGAGGTTGTGAACCTTTATCGGCTGAGATGGCTAGGAAATCTACTGCACTTGCTGATCCACTGCCTACCTCGAGTTATAATGCTAGGGGAAGTTTGATTACGTTAGAAGTGGGTTCAATATGACTAGACCATAATGCGGCACCAGTAGATGAAGACGCTAACTTTTGGTCCGAGTCACGTGAAGAGATGTAGACTACTTAGTTGGTGTCCTACAGACACAAGGAATTAGAGGTTTAGGACTCTTTTGACCCGTCTGAAAGTCACTTACGGTGGAGCAGATGCATTCATTCCTTAGCACCTTCTAAAGCTTAAATATTTGCAATAATTTTTATCTTCAAATTATTTATTTTCTCACACTACTCTGTCCACTTTACATCACTCTTTTTTTATCCAACCGATTTTTTTGTACTACTGGGAAGTGTGGCAAATCCAGCCGATACACATCTGCATGAGGTTCTACGCTGATTCAGTCAGTCAGTCAGTCAGTCAGTCAGTCAGTCAGTCAGTCAGTCAGTCAGTCAGTCAGTCAGTCAGTCAGTCAGTCAGTCAGTCAGTCGGTCAATCAATCAATCAGTCAGTCAGTCAGTCAGTCGGTCAATCAATCAATCAGTCAGTCAGTCAGTCAGTTACTTCTTCCTTCTGATTGCTTATAGCATGAAAATATTGACACCTCTGCTGAATTATGAGGGTTTTTATTCACTAGCTTCATTTTAAATATTCTGAAGTCAAATTACTTCATTTTTAATGTTTGCCAATTTATTATGCCGTTTCAAAGTACATAATGATGATGACAGCTGAGTTGTGATTTGTAGCTTACAGTCATTTGTCAGTTGGCCAATTTTTGAAACACATACGAAATGTCAAACATATATTTTCATGTGTATGTGATTTAGTTTGCAAAGTTACTGACAGATTACACCTTCAGATGGAGGAATTCAATCTAAATTACTGCATTAGAGGCGAAGTAACTGATACTGCAGGTGATCTAAGACAAAACAACACTCGATTCCTAACAGGAAGTCATGTGAAATTTGTTACAAAATTCTAAATCCTGGCATCCAGTTACGGTAGATAGAAAATCCCATTTTCTTTTCTTATTAAATTCTTTAAACCTATATAGGTTATACTGCGTGACGAGTTTGTGCAAGCCTTTTCCGACCATTATGATTGCAGCAACTCCGTTTCTGTAATAGAAGATGTTATCCAAATGACTATGAACAATATTGTTTCACTTTAAACAGTATCAGCTGGAGCCGTCAGTAGATCTTTACATGCTTATTAATCCATGTTAAATGGTTCAAATAGTAGAACCTACAGAGAGACTTCTGAAATTTTGTTGAGTTGCTGTACTAACTTTTTACTGCACTGGTTGCCTAGCATGAGAGTCGAAGAAGTTTGAACAGAAGATGGAATCTCAGTACCTTTGAGGATTACTAATTTTTATTTCTCCATGCGAAGCTAATCACGGCCGATGTGCTTGCCTGCAAGCATAAAGTGTTCAAGCTGTACACGTTACCTCCATAAAAATCCTAACAGTCAATTTTAAATTAAATACGTTGTATGGGGTACGAATAATATCAGTCCATTATTGTATAATCACTTATAGTGGTTCGTTTTGCATTGGGTGAATCTACAACATCAGTAACATAGATTAGATACTGGTTATCTTAATTTTAATGGTATTGTTTATTTGAAGGTATACGGTTAAGTACCAATAGTGTTGTCGTAAAAAATCATATAACTTCTATGTGAAACCGGGTAGCCAATTATCCAAAGCATTTGATTTGTTAGCAGGGGTTCAAAGCTGTGCTTCCTCATTTGAAAAGTTAATCTTGCTGAGACCACGTTCACACCCAGTTAACTTAAAGAAATTAAACAAAACTTTTTAGATTTTGCTTCTCACTGTTTCTGAAGATCATGTTCCAGGTTCGTTTAGCCTGCACTAACCTAATATAGGCACATAGGGACAAAAATATAGGGATATTCGATAAAACTCTAAAAATTGTTTGCACCTGTGTAATTATTACCAATATTTATTTGACACACTGCAAAACTTTACACTGATTGTTTGGATACCCTAAATTATTTTGGGCACGTGGTAACACTGAATAAATTGGTCTCTGATGTGAATCTTTTGTGGTCACCAAATTCGAAAGCCAGCGCTCATCTGCATTCATCGTAATTAAGCGATCATAAATAATGGCTGGTATTTAGATTTTAAGCTTACTATGACTGTGAAAACAATTAATTTTAGAACTAACTGTTTTGTAAACATACTTATATATTGATAACAACTTATTTGTCTCAAGTTCCAATCTTGGAATTTATTTCTGAGACGGTTCACAGAGTAATCAGGTTTGTTTTAGTGCATAAAGACGTAATCCACTTCTACAATCTGGGATGTTATCCAAAGTTGGGTAAATTTAATTGCTGCATTTTGCACTCGGAAGTAAAGTTACCAGAAGAAGAACGATGGTAGGAAGTGTGTGAGAGGATAGATAAGTACTGGATTAGTGGCTATAAGATACTATGGTGTACTAGTTGTTATTATAACAGCAATTTCTTCATGCCTCTGTTGGACAAAAGTGATTGACATAATTTGTCCAGTCTCAAAATCATTATGACAAAGATCCGGATGATACAGCATATTAAAATCTTTGAGTTTAACGTGCTACTGGGTAAATCCACTAGAAGTATTGATCTTTATCAGATAATAGGTTACCAGTAAACAGTGAACATAGATTTTCTCTGAAGGTGTTGTAAATCTTTTCTAAAAGTTATTGCTCAAAATTTTTATTCCAAATGTGAATTTTCTTATGAATGTGCTATATGGTAGTAAATAAACCTTATTTACGGAACTAAGTTACAAACTGCTTAATGATCTAGTCAAATCTTGTAATTAAGAAGTTATATCTGATTTATTGGATTCTAGGGTTTTGAGGACAATATTCAAAATAAATCAAGAATTTTTACTGAGGAGCATTCATGAAGTAGAGCGCGATCAACTAGGCATATCTTCAAGTATGTATTTATGTATGACAGATATCCTCCCCCAAATTATAAATTCTTATTTATTTGTCTAGTGACCTTATTTTGAGCTTTGTTTCATGATCAAAATTTTATTTTCAAACACAGAAAGATAGAATGATTGGAATGTACGAAAATCAAATTCATAGTTTAAATGACACATTATCTCAGCAAAAGAATGCATTCCAAGAACGAATTTCTTTACAGACCTCCGAAGCTGCTAAATCAGTTGACCGTTTAACCAGAACATTAGATTTAGAACGTAAACGAATGAATCGTATCTGTGGGTTGGCTAACAGAATTCTACAACAAAGAAGTGAAATTGAAGAATTTTTTATTACTTCTCTAGACTATGTTCGTGGTGAGATCAAAGTAAACCAGTAAGGGTTTTAAGTAATTTTATCCATTTATACTTAATTTAGACCTTTTTATCCTTAGCTTTCTTTAGACGAAAAATTACAGCTTTTATTGTCCTTAGTGTTGAAGTTGGATGTTCCATAAATAGTGGGCTGATAGTTTATACGATACTTTCCTTCAGTTGAATCCCTTTTTATAAGAAGGAGGAAATATGTTTTCTAGTTTCAGATTGGTTAGATTAACCGTAGTTAGTTTATTAGACCTGGCTTGTGCGAAAGGAATGAGAAGATAATGTTTCTTTCGATAACCCATGGATGGGAAAACTGTCGAACAAATGGATAAAAAATCAATGTAGAAGAAGTACTTCATTTTAAGTTACCTCACTTTACAATAGGATAGTTAGAGTAGGCGGGGAGAAATTAGATGATATTCAGATAAGCAGTAATCGACTTGAGTAGTGGTTGACACCACAATCCAATATTTTATGCAGTGATTTCATATGCTGATCTGATCACCGTCATTCCTTAATTCTTGTGATTCATTGATGTAAGTGGCAGGCTGGCTTGTATAGCACTTAATCTAGTTGCTTACAATAGTGAAATTGTACAAAATAATTTACTGATTTTTTTCATTTATCTGCTGAAGTATGTTGGGACCCAATACTGGTCTTTCTTTGGTATATTTGCCAAGAAATATACAAGGTTTAATCCCCTTATATTTCCAAAATTTGCCGGTCATAAACTTACAGTTGTACAGAATTTGCTGTTGTGCTCTGCATTTCAACATTATTCGGTGAGATACCTGAATATCAATGAACCAACTAAGTGGAGTTCTCTTTCATCAGCGTTATTTGTTATCTCAGAAAAAATATAGCGACACTCACATGAGGAGAAAAGAGTTAAACTGGAAGACAGTCTTGAAAAGAAACAAGCATTGTTAGATTTGTATAGAAGTTAATGCTGAAGGAAGTTTTCTATTTCAATTATACACAACTTTTTTCTGAACATGTGAATGAGTTATGATAAGTTTTTTACTACGGAAACTAGTTATTCTCTCCAGTATGCAATATCACTTATTTTCTTTCAAAAAGAAGCTGGACATTTTCTTTCTCAAATGTTGGAAAAGAAATTCAAACTAGAATAACTTATTTTCAACAATGTGGTTTTGTACCATTCTTACAAGATAGCACTTATCAAATATTGCCATTCTAGTTCCCACTTATTGACTTATTTCATGTGCTGCTGAAATCTCATGGGTGATTACCTTTCTTATTATAACTCCAGTGATACCAGTAGTTTTACAAATATACTTGATTATAATTTTGCCTAACTCCTAGACTCAGTTGTTTATTAAATTCCCACCAAATTAGTCTCTTTTCATGACCGTCTCAGAGAAACATCTGATTAGTACTGTCTGATCGGTAATTGTTAAAAATGGTTAATGCTTCGTTGCATTTAAGTGACTCCCTAAGAATATTCGCAATAGGTGTTTGGGTGCTTCCACTGGTAGACTGTCTTATAATTATGATACATTCTAAACTTTATACCAGTTGGACCGACAGTATATTAATAGGTTGTAAGAAAAATGAAAAAAATATTCACATCTTAGGGCGAACACCCCAAGAATTTCATAGTTAAACAAGGGGTTTCAAAAAAAATTAAATTTCCAGTGCAGCAAGCATTTCAATTTACGTATGTTCGATAAATAAAGCGTCCTCAAATCATGGATAACATTCATTTGATTGTCAATCTGACATATTGCAACCATTGCTGTTACTTTGGACTCTGTTGTCAAAAATAACAAATCTGAACAAACGAAAAGTCTATTTAAGCTGGTCTTCTATACCATGTACTTTACACAAGACCAGACAATATGTATGTAGCGATTCTGCATACCTCAACATCACCTTGGGATTCATTTTCTTAACATTGATCCTTATTACTTTCGATATATATTTTTCCAACAGTAAAATTGTTAACTTATATTCATATCATGTTGCTGATGGAAGCAGTTATAAGATCTTTCTAAAACACAAGAAGTCCTTAGTGAGGCTGTGGTTAAGGGAGTTGGTTTTTAGCCAGTGGGTCACGAATTTGAACACCGCTCCACCTACCGAGTTTTGGGCAGCCAGGTAGTATCACTTGCCCTTACGCATTAAGTGTGGCTCATTGGCTACTACATGGATGTGCACAAGGTGGCTAGGTGCGTAGTACTATGTATCAATAAGTCCTTTTAGTTTAATTGCTAGTAAAGTGGGCAGACAACACAGTTCATTACAAAATACTGGAATTTTTTGAATGTTAATAAAACGAATAAATTGCATAGCTCTGTTCCAAGCCCTATCAAGCTGTATTGTGAGTATAGTGGATTTGTTAATAAAAAAGAAATACAATTTTATAGTTATCAATATTTATTTGTTTTGTGTAGTGCATAAGTGACGTATAACTGCAAATATCACAAAGTGATAGTCACTCGAATTTTGTTACCTATCTCACACAATTTTAAAGTATTACAGCTACTTCTTACAGTCTATGTTAATGAGGCTTCAACTCTGTTAGCCTAACATTTTTATTAAGTTTGCACTCCTTTGGACTGAATCAGCAATAAACAGAAGTTTTCATTTGTCATTATTCATCTGTGAAGTAGACGGGTGTCGATCGTAGCCGCATCGAAAAGCTTAGACTTTTAGATGTTAGAAATCGATTTTATGTAGCACTCAGTGAAATGATTCAAATTGTCCAGTGTGATACAATAATATTTAATATATGCTGTTTTTAAAGTTCCAAGTAATTTACTGATCTTGATATACCAATTCCTTTTCCCCTGTCATATATATCACATTTATTTTGATGTAATCCTATTCATATTTATTTCCTCTTCATGTACTTTTGAGAAGTATGTAAGCTCAACCACTTAGTGTTTGTTAAACGACCTACATTTTTTGTTTATCTACTTATTCACTATTGGTTTGCCCATTATTTTCAGGGAAAGTATACTGTTTTTTTTAGCAAATAAAAACTATCTAGTTTGCATTTGTAATGGATTTGTAGAACAACTAAACCGTTGGGAGTACGTTTATGTGAATATTGTCTTCAGATATTTCATTATAAATCTCACTATTCTCATGAGATTTTAACATCATTTTCAGTGTTGGTATGTGAATAAATGTGTATAATATCAGTAAGTAGTTTTTATTAGGTCTGAAAAATTAATAAGTCTGAAGGTGGGCTGAATTTATTCACACGAGAAGCATAAGTGTTTTAAACTAGTGAATACTAGTCTTCCAGTTACTATTTTTAGGTGTTTGAAATGTTATAAAGACTTCTAAAGTAATCCACATTATTCAGCTTGTAAATTAGAGCTTTCATTTTGGTGATATGCACATGGACCAGTGAGTATATATCTCATTTTCAAAGCAAAATTACGTTGAAAATAAAAGAATTGAAATCTGAACGATACTATATGGGTTTAAGGTTACAACAATAATACTCATATTCCAGATGGCGAATACAGTCCATGGCAAGTGTGATTATTTATTTATCTAGTTTTATATAATTACTTGCTGAGATGGTAAATTATCATTTCAATCGGTTAATGATATCACTTAAGTTGTTTTATTGTAAAGCCAGGTAAACTTGACTAAAACTTAAGGAAATTTATTTGAAAATGGTTGATGCTTGATATACAGTGGTCTACACTTGTAGTGTAAAATTTACTCTCCTGGTTAACGACCAAATACTTAAGATAACATCCTAAATCTTCAATATTTCTGAAAGCTTTTTAGAGTAGTACTAAATTTCACCAAGTAACTTCATATTGAGTTATCATCAGTGCTTGGTACTGAAGATAACTGAACAAAGAGTCAGAAGCAAAGCCAAGGAAATATTAACATTACCAAAAAGCATAACTGTGGTTTTCCATTAGGTTCTCTGATCAAAATATGTAGCTTACAGTCAAAACATTATTTTTAACCAAATGCAGTTTATATTTAAATTAATAAATCTCACCAGGAAACAAAATAAAATTTGTAATGAATAAGAGTTTTTCGGTTTTTGATGATTTCATTTTCTTAGTTGCATAATCTCATTTATGATATGTGAGTTAAATTATAGCCAGTTACTTTCATATATTTCATTTTTATAATGAGTTGAGTCGTGAAGCTCACTAGTAAATGAAAGATAGCAGCTTATGGATCACCACATCAGTAGAAGAAACACATGATATCACAGCTTAAGAATGCGAAATCGGTGAATTATTGAATGGAATAATGTTACCTCTCTAGAGAGTATTATTAAAAAGTTAATGAAAAACAAGAAACTTGAATATCATCCAGATAAAATACGCTGAAATATGCTACGAGAGGAATGTACTTAGTTAATTAAGTCGAAAAAACTACAATGGGTTAAGATGAAAATGAATAAAGGAAGAGCTAGTCTTATGAATCATTTGAACAACATAGCAAACTAAACACAATATTATGATTAAGAAGACAAACGGTAGCAAACATTTCTGCTCATGTAGTTCTCCTTTATAATTATGCATAACAAAGGCTGCTGTGATAAAAAGCAGGTGTAATTGTTCAACTGGAAAATAATTCATTGAATCATTTTGAAAAAGTGTTAACAGTTTCTACCGTATATTTGACTTTACATCTCAGAGGGTTACTTGTCCTCTTGTGTTCAACAAGTTAGTTTGTTTACATTATGTGATTATTTGCTTTACTTTGTTGCAATTAAATGCTTCTGTTGCATGTTGTCACTTGTATTCCACTTTCAATTATTCATGATTTTATTGTATTCACTATAAACATCATGCTAATTGCATTGTATGTAGATTGATTAATGATGAATATTTCATAGTATGAAAAATAATCTTGTTGTCTTGTTCATGCTTTCTATAGGAATAATTATATTCATGATGCAAAATCTGCTTATGAAGCAAGTTTACGACTAGCACATTGTGGTAAATCAACTTATCCACCTATAAGAACTTTTCAAAACAAAGTTACTAGTACAAATAATGTTTACGATGATTTTAAGATGGCACATGAAATGTAAGTCACGTCTTTAATTTAGCATACACGTCCTGTAACGATGTTTGAATAAATGTCTTATTTTAGGATACACTGTCAACTGACTTTCAACCTACAGCTTTTTCTTGTTTCCGGCTTATAAAAGTAAAACATTACTTAATATTTGTGGTGACAGAATTGTAGAGTTGATTAGAGGAGGTTTCTTCAAAGAGTAGTGCATTAGACTGACAACGTTTAACTTCAGAATTATAAGCTTTTTGACTGTGGTCATAGAGATCATCAAAATCTCTATTTGTTCAGTTTATAGCATCTCATTTTCTTATATACGCAGGTTTAAGTAACCAGCAGGAAACCAGTATAGTTATTTCATTTGCAGCGCTAGTACTGACAGAAGTTCATGCATCAATCAATGTTTTGATTTGTCCTTATTTGTAGGTTCACATTCCTAATGAATACCAATATGTATGACGCGTAGGTCTAAGGCTTACTGCTTATTGACCTACAACATTTAACACACTTATTTGTCTCTTCTCAGTAGTATCCTTCTTCATATAAGCGGACAGGAATTAAGTTCAGTATTTCCTAAAGCGGATGATGTAAGAACTGTCAAGAATATATTTCAAAATCTGGTAATTAAAGATATAACCATCATGAAGTACGTATCTTCTAGATGCAGTGAAGTTCATTTGATATTAGTTGGTTGGGGGCGATCAGCAGGAAGCCATGCACTTAGGTTTCACGCTTGTTGGCACTCATCAGCAAGGCGTATCTGTAACCTTGACGGAACTGGTGTCCCGCCTGAGATTCGAACCCACATCACCCAGTGTTGTAGCCAACGATTTCACCACTAAGCTATTCGGGTTGCGACTGACTTCCTGTTGGACTGGGTTGCATGCATTGGTCGGTCACAGGATACCTCAGGTAACATTCAATACTTGTTCAACCTGTCTACTAATTATCAAGAATACAAGCTCCTTTGATTATCCATCCTAAATTTCAGTAACATGATTCAAAGAAGTGTGCTCTCATTCACAGCAGTAAATTTGTTAAAAAAAATGTCTCCATATGATATAAGGGTTTTGTACGTTCATTAGTTCTGAGGGCTGACATAATTCTATCGATCATTTTGCATTAGGATCAGTATACTACAAGACTAAGTCTTTGAAGTGATCTATCATTTTCCAATGACAACTGAACATCAAGCACTTAACTGTTATAGTATAGTGTTCCATATCGACTTTATACCTATTTTACCTAAGTTTATTCAGAATGAAAGATATCACGTCATTAAGTGTGTTATTTCTTTAAGCTTGAATACTGGATAATTGAAGTCAGTCTGAAAGCAACCTCATATCCAGGTTTTATGTTTGTAGTTACTGTTATAATTCAAACCCATAGTGAAGAATGACACTACCATTTTATTTGACAGTGTTATTAGGTAGGTAGACAAAATAGATGGTTAAACAAAAACGTGGGTCGTGATAGGATTCAAACCAGTTGCGTCTATATTATCTATCTTGATATTTAACGCGGTGACTTTAAAAATCCAAGCAGCTATTCAGGTCTCAAGTGTACTTTGCAGTTACCATGGATTTTGAATTTAGCTTAAGTCACCATCGACGTAGAATAAGATGAATCTAGTAACGGAAAATACATATATTAATGACTGTTTAACAAACGTTTTATACATTTCAGCCCCAAATCGACCCGTTTAACAATTCGTGATCTTACATGGGAACAAAAAGAACGTGTACTTTCTGTGCTATTTGAAAAAATGAATGGTAACAAAATGAAATGCGAAAAGTTAAAGAAAAAAACAACCAATAGCTTAAATGCACCAAATTACGAAAGCGAAGTCAATACAGGAAACTTAAAATTATCATCAAGGGAGTCTTCAAAGTTTAACGAATTGAGACTGCTGAAAAGACAGATAACTGATTCTACTATGCATACAAATGGCAGTGGAGGAGGAGAGGAAGGAGAAAACGGAAATGGGAGCTCCAGAGTACTCCAGAAACATATATATCAGGAATTGATTAAAACACCTGACAACGTCTCTAACGAAAGTCAATCTAGTGAAAAAATAAGCAAACAACAGGACTTGGGAGATAATGGTGAATTCGTACAAAGAAAAATACTTTCCGCACCTGATTTTCGAGAAGACCAGACAAGTGCACCACATCCATCACCTCAACCAAGGTCAAATCAAATGAAATCTGAAAGTATACATTCAAATTAGGATGCATAACTTCAGTGATTAGAAGAAAATAAATTTTTTTGTAAATTATATTTGTCACAATAAAATATACTTGTACTTCATGTATGTTTGACCTTAATCTATTTCGAAATATACTGTAGAGTAATTGTTGAAATAGCGATCAAGATTTTTAATTTTGGCACTATATACCATATTGCTGTAGATAAAAGTAGTTGAATGTTAACCTTTCCGTCTTTATACGAAGATAAAACGGTTTCATTTGAAATGAAAGGTTCTGGTGTCCTGAATTCACTCAGTGAGATTTTGGAAATGAGTAGCTAAAAACTAAGCACAGTTTAGTTGAAAATAAGGTGTACTGGTTTTGTTCCAATAAATTTTAGAATTATTATCAAACTAATAGCCTTTTTGAAACAAGAAAATCTTATGTACCAAACAGCTGCTTTTTGGAAGGATTTTCAGATAGTATTAGTGTAACTTACAGTCAGTAAAAGCACAGAATGTGATTAGTTTCAAACTTGAACGATGGCATGTTGGAAAGATATTTACCCTTTTTAAGTTTCTTTTATACAGATACTCTTTCTGGTGCATGAGGATAGATGTAGCCTTTTGCATACTGATAGCTTTTGGCCTTAAAATGAATTAGACGTTTGCTGCAAAGGAAAAGTTGAGTTTATACCTATAGTCCTGGCTTTCACGTTTTAATAAGTCAGAAATCTAAGCAATACTAAATAGCTGCTTGCTTGACTTTTAAGAGCTTCTGTTTTACTACATGGATTTCATCTTGGATCATAGGACCATCATAAATTAGACATTTAAGGATGGAAGTAGTGATTGACTACCAACGAAAAGCTTTGATATCGATTTCAGAAAATCTTTTCTTGGTGAAACTGATTATTTCTGACATTAGTTTTCAATGCTGTAACTTAATTCGGAAGTTAGTGTAAGTATTTGTGTGTGAAAGAAGATACTTTAGTGAGTACATAATCACACTGGAACTTTGAGCTTAACTAACTAATAGTTTATTAAAATGTATTTTCTTCAGGACTGTGATTTAGGTAGATATCTGTTATAAAATATTATAAAGGAAACCATATATTATGATGCAGAGATTTACTATCGCAAGTAAAGACTTAGTTTTATGCTATTTTATGTAACTTCCTGAGATAGGAATATGTTTAAAATATATGAAATTATGACACAGTGAAGAATGGTCCAGAAAGTAAACAAGTAACTTGTTATAGGGAGTATTTAACTAGTTGTCTGAGTATCTTATTATACAATCTGAGATCTAAAGTCACAATCAGTTTAAAGACAAAAATCTGTTGATGACAAACAATAACAAACAACAATAAACAACAAACAATAAGAAATTTGATTTTTGGAATGAATTTCAACGAACAGATCTGATCCTATTTAACAAATTATACTGATGTGATTTACATATGGGACTGGAAATTTATACTTAAACTTGGTCGGATATTCCTGACTACAGACAGAAGAATATATGAGTCATCACTTGGCTCATAATTCACTGTTCTTAAACTAGTCATTTAGGCATTTTTCACTTAAAAAATCCCCTAAATAGTTAATATTGTTGTATAAGGTTTCAAAAGTTACAGAAATATTGCTTTAATGCTACTCAGATACACGATAAATGTTTTGTCTTGTAGTTGGAAATTTCTTCAGTACCTCTCAGAGATGTGAATATTACCATGACATTGTAGTTAGGTGATGACCTCTGTGAAGTTTACCAGACGTATTGCTCAGAAGAAAGTTAAACTTCTGTATAAAAAAGGTACGTAAAGATATCAAGTATATGTGGTGATTACGGTTTGTTGTAACTATATTTATGTAGCTGAAATAATTTAGTCAGCATAGATTATACTCTTAAGCTGAAGTTAAATTATGCTGATGTGAGATATTTTTGAAATGTCTCGAATAAATATTGGTGGTAAGAAAACTTTCGACCAGTTTCATATAGAACAACAATCTAAGCAACACAATATATATCGTTTACAGATTATATTGGAATAGATGATGTCAGACACATAAACACATAGAAACTTAGAATTTCATGATCATGCGTTTATTTTATACTTTGACTTCAGGTATAAGTTCTGTTTCTATTTTAATGAAATTTAAACCGTATGAAATAAATACCTCAGTTAAAGTAGTAACTATACTACATAGTGAAATATAGCTGGGTTTGTTTTTAACTGCATAACCAGTAATGGATATTTAACTCTGTACGACGTACATCCATCCATATTGATGTATGAGGATGACATTGGAAACTAGTTCGACTGAAAAATATAGAAAACATACATAGAAATGAAATTTATAAATTGGCATACTGACTCAGCCTATCAACATATTAAAAACACCAGAAACGATCGTGAAGTCAGAAGTACAGCTATTTGCAAAAACATTTCAAAACATGATTGTCAGTGGTGACGAGAAAGTCAGAGAAACACAATAAGTCGTATTTTTGACCACTGAGATACAACAGTAAGTCAAAAATCGAAAAAAATTGTGGAAAAATATTTTCATGTCAGGTTTCTCCAAAAAATGGTCTCTTATAGTAAGAAAGAAAAAAATTTTTCATCTCTGAAAAATAAAACATCACAAGAAAGAAATTAAAGTGGTCTGAAGAAAAACAAAGAAAAACAACAGAAGTAAGTGTACTTAGTGAAAAAAAGTGCTGGTCAGTCACCTGCCATGCAAATTCTGGAGAGTCAAAATTTTGAATTAAACTTTCAGAATTTGCGCTACAAGAAAATACAGTAAATTCCATATACTAGATTGGTATCTAGTACTTCAATAAAAAATAATTGCGTACGCAGAACCATATTGTCTCCCTTATCTTTAATGTCATGGTAACTATCTACAAAACAGCTGAAAGATTAAATCTTACCGTCCCTGCACCCATTCATATAATAGTCTAGAACAAACCAGTTGCTGGGAATGTAAGAACATTTCGCGGGTGATAAAGACTTCTAGATTAACCTCCAAAGGTAGAGTCAATTTTGTGAAAGTTGTAGTATAAATAATGCCTTACAATTTTGATTTGATATTGTTAGTCTACACCAGATAACATAAAGATATGACCTGATGCAAACAATCGGGTTCTACAGTGCGTTTGTCACAGCCTGATTAACCTAATGTTCGAACCACTGAAGTCTACACTGAGGAAGGTAAGTCGAAACTACAGTGTGAGTAAGAGTTTCTTCAAGATTTCATGTGAACCTGAACTGAAACTGTTAATATGTAGGAAACCCCTGACCTGTCAACGAACGTTACGTATTCAACTGTAAAAATTTAGAATCTGATAACCAAAACCTAAAAATTTTCATTCAACTAGTCTCAGAATAAAAAAGAAGTTAATCTAGTCTGCTTTTAGAAAAAAATGTCGTTTTGATTCATAAGACAATGAAATCAATATATGACTTGTTTTCTTTTTACTAACCGCTGTAGAAATATGATAAGTTCAGTCAAAACGGTAAGCAAGTTTTCGGTTAACTCGTTCGAAGTTGTGATATTTTGTTTTTCCAATAATTAACGCTTAAAATCTCGCTTTACTTCTCCTCATCTTAATGTTGTATTGAATACTTGGCTGAATTATATTTTTAAAATTTAATTTTATTAGATAAACCAGTTTTAGAAGCATAATTAGTAGTTTTAATCCATGAACGAAAGTTATTGATGTTATCGTGTCATCCTCGTAATCTACGTGATTCACATATTTCGTTTGGTTTATGTTGTACTGAATTGATCAATGTAACAGTAGTGAAGGCATTTCCTGCCGTTTTACAATTATTACTTCTCATTTTTTATGCGAGTAGTCTGCATATTAATATCACCACATATATATGTAAATATGTGTTTGCAGAAAATGAAAATTTTGGACCAATAAATATTATCTGCAAGTAGAAAAGTAATGATATTGGAAAACGATACAGCAGTCTTTTGTAGTCTATTTATACTCAGTGAATTAAAACAAAAGTCAGTTTTATGCCGAAGAAATCATTGATTGCAATAGTTAAAGTTTAATGAATAAGTTTGTAAGCCTGTTCAGATGACCATTGATTACGTTTATTTGCTGCATCTAATAATTTCGGAAACTGAATTCCTACGAAGATACTTCCGATCAAAGACGTATGTCAGATGATTAAAATAGAAAGTTGTAAGGAACAACGTATAACGTCTAAAGGTATCTTCATGGTCTATGACTGCATTCTTAAGAGTAGTGAGTTCAGAGATAAGCGTCTTAAGTAGATCAATGGAGATGAAGGAAAAAATTATGTAACTTGGCAGATAATAAGTGGTCAGGGAGTAATAAAAGTTTTAAGATTAAAAAGAGGACTAAATGGACCTGTTATATTATTGTTATAAACCTTCAGTCATATAATTGAGGACCTATTCAAGTATCATAAGTCAGTGACTGCTGAAAGTCTGTTCTTCGCAGTTTCAGACATTGCAGAAGCCTTTGATTTAAAACTACTCGGACCAGGTATCGAGTTGAACCGATGTCTATGGAATTACTCAACTTGTGTCATCCAGCTGGTGTTAGAGAACTGACCTTTTGTTTGCAATTTTGCAATTGTAATAAATATGGTAAATTCGGCAGAATGCTAGTTAAAAGAAATTATCCAGTGGAATAGTTGAGTAAACCTGTCGATGCTTAGTTCTTGAAGTGTAAATTTCTTTACTTGATAAATTTGATTGAGCTCTATTTAAAGAGGATTAGAAAATCATATAGTCGAATTATTTAAATAATAATAATAATAATATTCGCTTTATCCCAGACAGCAGGCGTGATACAGTATGAAATTTTCAGCATGGGACATTTCAACAAATTCGTTTTCCGTACAACATTTTCAAAAGAAATAATCATTATATCTGCGTAGTGTTACCGAAAGCGTTGGTGTGAAACGGGCAGCAAGTGTTACTTAGCATCTGTCCTGGATTCAGAAATTAACACAAAGTCGAGTGTAATTTTGATAGCGGCAGTTCAGTTAGCCAGCACAGAAATTCACAATTCCATACAGGTATCCCAAGAATAGTAATGTGGTGTATTTTTGAGCATTTAAAAATCCATTTCGA